GGCATTCCATCCAATGGAATATTACTCATCATGAAAAGGAATGAAGTTCTGATACATGCTACAAAGTGGATAAAACTTGGAAACATTATATGCTTGATGAAATAAGCCACACATTAAAGGACAAACATGATGTGATTCCATTACATAAGGTATCTAAGTAGACAAGGTCATAGAGACAGAACTTAGACTGGATGTTACCAAGGAAGGAAGAAATGTGAGTAATTGCTTAGCAGGTACTGAGTTTCTGTTTGTGATGATGAAAACTTAGGAAATAGATAATGCTGATAATTGTACCACTTTGTAACTGTAATTATACCATACCATACAGTTCACAGCAGAAAACCACACAACTGTTTATTTAAGCAAGTTTTTATAAAATTTTAGCTTTGCTACTATTTGACAATTTCTAATGCATTCATTTAGCTAACTAAACAGAATAATACAAATACAAGCATTTATTAGATTAAGGATTTAGTCAGAATCAGGAAATCAATAGATTTAAATTAAACCAGAGGTAAGATATTTTAGTATTTTATACTTCAGAAGGTCATTTTTCCTTGAATGTTAATAACACATACCTACAAAAATAGAAGTCAATGGCTGGAGGTTTTCTTAGTTCTTTTTAAACCAAACATCTTATTTAACATTAGTTTAAGTAGTAAATAAATTTCAGGTGCAGTGCAATTTGACATCTATAATCATTGCCCAAAATATGATTTTCATTTACCACCATACAACTTATTCCCTTGACCTATTTTATATACCTCTTATTCCCTTCCCTTTTGGTAACCATCACTGTGTTCACATAATTTGAGAATTTGTTTTTGTTTTGTTTTGTATGTTCATTTGTTTTGCTTCATCTTCAATATATGAGTGAAATCATAAGGTATTTATTTGTCTTTCTCTATCTGACTTATTTCACTTATCATAATTCCTGCTAGGTTCATATTCTTAGAGTCATAATTCCTTTGGATAATAGAATGTAGTTAGTTGCAAGATAGATGCTGAGGGAAAAACTTCCTCAGCAACGTTCCTAAATTCTTTCGACTTTACTTTGCCTCTGTGAAACACCTGAGGTTGTAACATCTATAGTGGCCACAGGCTGATATTTATCTTGCTTAAACCTCCTTCTCTTTCCCACATTTCTTCTTTCTCATTTAAAATCATTTGAGTATAGCTGAAGGTCTGAATCACTTTCCCACATGATTGTGTTTTACCACTGAAAATAAGGAAATATTTTTTTCCCTCTGGGCATCCCATTGGAATTGTTAAGTATAATTCCATTGGAATTGAAAAGAAAACAATATCTGGGGGAGGGGAGACTATGAACATTAGAAACACTCATAAAAATTCTATTTGTAGAATTTTTCCCTTTAATCTAAATTACTAGAGTTTCAGATAACTTTTAATGGAAGGCAGAAAATAGATGTTCTATCAAATCAGACATCCAAAATTTTCCCATATATTGTTCTTTCAAAACTAGTGTGTGTGAGCCTCCCTGGTGGTGCAGGATTAAAGACAGTGCTATCAAGCTATCGCCAGCCACTGCAGCATGAGTTCGATCCCCAGCAGGCCAGGGAGCAACACACATGGCGCAGAAGACCTCTCCTGTATCACCCACTGCTCCCTTCAGCAGTGTATTTCACTAGATCTGCCTGTTCTATTCACCACTTGCTCTGGTGAATCCTCTCACCCCCTGCACCTCTGGTCTACACCCCAGTTCTTGTATGCATAAATAAATAAATCTTTAAAAAAAAAACCAACTAGCATGTGTTTCCATACATCATTGCATTTCTTTCCAAAATTTCTTTTTTTTAGGTGTTGGAGGACAACTATAATTTTTGAAGTAAAGCAGTTGAAACCAGAAAGGCTAACTGTTTTTCTCTAATCAGTGGACTCAGCCCTGAGTTCTACACCCTCCCACAGACTTTACAGAGCATTTTCTTTATAGTTAGAAAAAATTGCAAGGTTCTGTGCATAGGAAAAGGACTGGAATGAACATTAAATATTAAATATTATTGATTGATTGAACTATTAATGTCTCCATCATTCAAAAACATCATATTAAAATGAACTTGCATTCAACAGTTTTCTGCTATAGGTTAAGGTTCTTATTCTGACAGCATAGTAACAAATAAAATTATTGAATTAGTGATCCATCCATTTGAAATATGGAATTCACATTTTGTTTTGTTTTGTCTTAATGTCACTTTACACCTCTGTAATTACATTATCAACTTGATACTCAGATTCACTCATTTCATTTACAAATCTTTGCAATTTATCTTTGTTTCTTTTTTTTATTGATATGACATTGATTTACAACACTGTGATTTAGGAGAATAGGTACATACATCTTCAGATGTATGTTACCTTATTTTCTTATTTTTAAAAAATATTTTGTTAGCAAATATGGAATACACTTCAGTTTCCTTTATATATTTTTAAACCAGTAACATTGGAAAATTACACAACTACTTAAAATTTCTTAGAAGCAGGTGGCTGTATTGAGAGTGGTGTGTAGGGGATGGTGCAGATGGGCATTAACGGGTCACAGTTAAAGGCCTGGATGAAGGCAAAAGACCATTTTACTTGAGACTTCATATTCTTAGATTCACAAGGTAGAAAAAAAGAGTGAGTCCACCATCCCATGGCACACTGTGGCAAGATCCACAATTGATGTGAAGCTCTCCCCTCAGCTTATAGATAAAAAGCTTGATGTCCCAATGGCTAGTTCATATCCTGAAGGTTGGCACAAAAGGACAAGACTTTGGAAGCTGGTACCACAAGCACCTTTCGAGGACAGATTCTATTAAATAGAAAACCCTTTTCCAGCTGAGCTCCAGAATGGACTTGGATATGTAAATTTGAGCATAGTGACTGGGAGAGCTGAACTGCTCCCCCCGAGAAAGCATTCTCTGTGGAGTTGTGCGCCTGGACAGGAATGAGGTTGGGGTTTGGGGAAGAGAGGTAGCTTAAGAAACCTAGTCCACTGAGATTCCCTACCACCCCCAAATGTTAACAGGACACAAATTATTAGTGGCACTAGTTTCAAGTCCACATTAACTTTGGCAGAAACAGTTGGCAGGTGTATATAAATGAGCTGAGGACACTAGAGACCATGAAAAAGCCTCTGGGGTTGGTGGAGAAAGGCAATGTAGTATTGGGTTTCCACAATTCATGGAACTGAGCTTTTGGTGTAGCACCAAGAACTTGAGTAGTCAGCTGAATACAGCAGTTAGTGGAATAATTAGTGCTAAAACAAAATTTTGACTCCTAGTTCAGCATCTTTTATGTCATAACATGCAATTTTGGATATATAAAGGACTTCCTGATGGGCAGGGATTTCTGGAAGTACAGAACTGAGAACAAGGAGTTGTTTAGATTTAAATGCCTTCCTACTTTAGTACTAATTCTTTTTTTAAAAAAAAGATTTATTTTTATTTATTTATTTATTTATACAAGCACTGGGTACAGTCAGAAGCGTGGGAAGGTGAGAGAATTCACCAGAGCCAGAGCGGGGAGCAGAGCAGGCAGAAGGACCGGAGTACACTGCTGAGGGGAGCAGCGGGTGGCAGAAGTCTGCGCGCCATGTGGGACCCTCTTCCAGTGGCCAGGGAGCAGCCGGGGATTGAACCAGCGCAGCAGAGGCCACAGGCAGCTTTGCAACCCAGCACTCAACCGCTGCGCCACCGGGAAGGCCCTAGTACTAATTCTTTCTTAGACTTTTCAATCTGATTCTGTAGTCAGAAAATCATTGTTTATATCTGTCAGATGCAGATCAATCTGCTCAAAATCTAGAAACAAGGGTAGATCCAAGCTTAGAGGTGCTGTTTATGCAGAAGCCAGTAATATTGAAGTATTAAAAACACAGACTGTCTACTCATTACAAGGGTCTTTCGATCTGAAGACATGCATTTACCTACAAGATTCTTACAGAGTTGGCTACATCACAGTGTTCTCTACTCAGAAAGGGAATTTGAAACTTTATTTTTCACTATCTTGAAATTCTTAATAATTTGATTTCTGAATTTGTATTTTGTAAGTGAAGTCCAAAGGGACAACAGAACAAGGGCTCGGGGAGTAGAGCCTCATCTCCTTTGTGTCACGCCTCCCTCCCGACATGCACTCTCTTTGCTATCCTCTCTGCTCCCCCATCCTGGCTCAGTGAGTTTTGTCATCTGCCCCAGTTGGAGGCAGGACACAGCTCCGGAAAGCTGGGGTCTAGTCCACACCCTGTGCACTGAATCACAGCCAAGGCCCAGCACCCATGAGAGCTGCACTCGCCTCCCACAAACCTCCACGTTGGAGATAGACATTAGGCTGTAGATTAAAAAAAATACCATGATGGGTCAAGAAAATTTTTTCCTGCTTTTTTTTTTTTTTAACAAAGGGCTTTTCATGTTGTACTAGGTCCCACAAATTATGTAGCCAGTCCTGATTAGATAATACCATATCTGGCAATCTCAAAACCAATGTTGTTTTTAGATCTTAACTAAAGAACCACAACATACATAACTGTGATTTAACTAAAGGTAATACATGGTTTAAGAAATCTTAATATTATACAGAAAACCAGATATTCCTAATAATTCGACAGAAGTGGGGGTGTGATCTCTATATTATTCTTGCCAGCAGTTATCATCAAAATAGAAAGTTTGGTTCTGTTGCTGTGACTTGACAAAATAATTATGGAAATGGAAAAGTGATGGAAATTTTTTTTTCACTGAGGCCGCCAGAGGGGAAAAATTTACTAATTTCTTCACAGTGAAAATATCATCTCCATATTTCTATTTCATAAGGCAAAGTTGTTTGTTTTTTTTTTAAATCATGTTACTTCTTTCCAATGTTGGTTTTACTCATAAATAACTACATCATTTTCCTACTATCCATCTAGGACTTTATTAAAATGACCATAGGTCAGTAATATCAAAGGGAGTATAAGAAACAGCTTTTTATTTCTTTTAGTTTTGGGTCTGCTGCTTATCTTTATATCCTACCTTGAGCTTGGCCAAAAGAAGTTCATGATCATGAAGAAGTTTTTTGGCTTCATCTTGACTGCTACCGATTTCAAGAAGATTGGGCTGTGATTCAGCCAGTTGAAGCTGTACCCATTTGCCACACTAAAAATAAAAATCAAAAAAGATGCACTTTTAGTTCCTCTTTTCTCATCCCTTTACCCTTCCCCTTCTCCCTTCTTGTTGTTCTTCTACTTCTCTCTCTCTCTTTCTTTTTTTTTTTTTTTTAGCTTTCCACTGTAAACTTTCTATTCTTCCCATAGAGACTGGCCTGACAAATTGAAATAGAACAGGTTAATATAAACCCATGCCCTGCCTTTTCTTTTTTCTTTTTGAGATAAATTCCTTTCTCTTGGCATATTGGACTTAAATTAAAAATTTTCAAATGAGGAGCACATATAATAGATTACAAAATTACAGACTAATTCACACACGTATACTCTCTCAGTCACAAAACTGAGTTCCATGAAAATAGTTAAATTCCACATGGACAAGAAGCATGAAAACTTCGCCATGGGGAAAGGTTTTGTAAATGCAAAGACAAATATTGATTTGTGTCTTAACATTGAACTAATTGGTTCAACCAAAAAGAATAAACAAGGGATGAAGCAACTGATTTTTAGCTTAATTCATAGTTCAAACATAATGTTTTCCAACTTTTGTTATTGAGTACGCAAAGTATATACAAAAATGTCAATAAAATTAGTTATATGACACAAAAACCATTTGAATAGAGCTAACTTGATTACTACACTTGGGATTCTTTCACTGCCCAAAGAAATAATTCATTATTACATTTCCTGAGGAATTGTTTTGCTAAGAAGCAACAACTGATTAAGCAAGAGGAATCACTAATGGGCATTTGCAGATGGATAAGTGAATTGCTGAAGAGAAATGAGAGCTATGTGCACTTTCCAAGATAATTACTGCCCTGAGACAGTCTGGAAAGGAGACACTAGCACTTCTATTTCTTTGAGATGGGCTTCCCATCTTGAGAACTTGGGAGTTATTTTATATGGGACTGCAGTGAGTTAAGTAAGGGAGGGAGCATGGAGGTAGCATTATTAAAAACACAGTTCAGTTAAAATAAGAGTTCCAGTATAATTTTTTTTCCTTACTGTCAATCTACCTCTTGTAACCCATTCTGCACATAGCTCTCATCCTGCTTTAAAAAAAAAGAAATGAATCATATTTGAAGGAAAGTTAAAATTTTTAAAACAGTTTGCTTCCTTTCCCTCACTTCTGAAACTTGCAGTTACTGAAAGCATCATGAAATCACATGCAAAATCACAATTTTTACTACTTCTGTTTCAGACTTCTTCCCATACCCATTTTGAAAAGACTAGAGGGCAAGGGAATTAGCAAAGGTTCTGTTACGCAGTTCAGCTCATTAGGAATACTTTGCTTTCAGTGTTTCTAGAGTGAGTGGTTTTGTTCAATATGAACTGCTGTTTTCCTTTTAGGAATTTCACATTAACATACAATTTGCCACAATTAAGTTACATTAAACAGGCCTTGTCATTCATGCTCGAGCAAAAGGCCAGAAAAGTCATTTAATTAAGCCTGGTGGAGTCCTGAAATATCTGGCTGCTGAGCATCGGCTTGTTTTCTGGATTCTCTTTATTTATACACTGAATTTAGGTGGTATAGTGTCTAAATCCAAATATAAATTTTTTTGCAAGACATTTTCATAGAAAATAAAATCATGGATATCTTTTTCAACGTAAAGATGTATGCTCATCTCTGCAAATAGACAAATGCTTGATACAAAACAGGCAATAACCTTAATCCTCAAGTGGATTCAACTTCCTGCTGTTAAGAGCAAATATGACATGAGCCCTTTGTACCTTCAGGGTCTTCAATCCACCAACAAAGGGACAAGGATTTATTGGTGACTTTACCATGTCAAAACCAGTGCTTCAGGGGACATGTGTCAGGGGCTCTTATTGGATTCTGTATCATACTCAAAAAAAGACACCCCCAGTTCCTGGGACCTTCCTCATCCCCCCTCCATCACATCCACACTCAATAATCACAAACATTCCACAGGTCCAAACTCTTCAGCCTGGCTTCATGACCTATAATCACGAATGCCTTAGCTTTAAAACACAAATTGAAAGTATATGGTGGAGTGTTTTGTTTTGTTTTGTTTTTCCTTTCAATCAAGCTGCTGTAAATTTTTTCTGATTAACTGAAAGTGAAACTCTAGCAACTGGCTGAAACTTACTGCTTTCTTTCATTTGCAGACTTAAGAACGCAATAAGATGCACTTGTTATGTTATCTTACAGATGCTGCCAATTTGTGGAATGTTTTTTATAGCATTATCAAACAGTTTTTTATAGCATTATCCACAGTCACACAGAAAAGAAAAATATTGTCAGCTTACCTTTATGACAGCTATCACGAGTTTGGAGTCCCCAGCCTGCACAGCTACTGAGCTGACTGTTGTTGTAGAAAACTCCCCACCAGGTCTTCCTTCACTGGACATGGTACTTCAGAACTAGAGTTTATACTTTGGGAGGCCTCCGTGCAGATGTGTGTCTGCTGGTCATTTCAGAAGGCAACCACTGGGATTTACTTGGATTCATTCAAGGAAGGAGCTCTGCTTGCACTGATTACGCTGCCAAAAGGAAAGAACAGGAGGTTAAAAATAGACAACCCCATTGAGTTTATCATGAGAGAAAGAGAGGGGAGAACGGCAGGGAATCGCCACACCCCTAGTATGGTAACACTAAGCGCCTGTTATTTTTGCCATTATCTTAAATGTGGAGAGCAGCTTCTAGTTCCCTCCTATCAGCTGATGTTTGATAACAAACAGAAAAAATAAAAAACCTACATCCTGACAACCCAAATTAGTTTTACCACTGAAACTATAGTTATGCTGGACTTTGAAACCAGCTAGTCACTGACGTGGAAATCAATCTTTTCAATATTTTTGAAGTCACCCTCATACAAAGAAAATCCCCAAAAATTATTTTAAAAATAGGTTCTGGTATTTGTTTTGGAATTAAGCCATAAAATTGCTTGAAATACATTTTTAGAATAATCTTTTCTCAAATTTACTACCTTCTGATAAAGAAAGTTTATATGGAATGGTCACATTTCCTAAGAAGGCCCTCAGATTTGTTAGGGGCATTTCAAAAATATTTTAACCAGCATTTATCAGTGGCTATCTATCATTTCAGGATTTCTTTATAACTCTGTACCCCATTAAATTTTCAAATTCAGATATCACCTCCAGTAGGAAGTAATAAACTTTGCTGTTACCTCTTAATTGCAGTATTTAGCTCAAATTAACATTATAAAAAATAGCACTGTACTTTAGGTTTGATTTTTATTCTCTCCCTACCCCTGTGCAAGAAAATTATAGACAGCTTCAAATCAGAGCCCAAGATCAGCAAATTAATCCTATTGCTAGAAACTCAGCTCATGTCACAAGTTGTCTGTGGTATTAAACAGCAGCTGTTGGATTCCCTCTCAAGAACAGCTGAAAATAACACTGAAGTTTAGGTCAGAGGTCAAATGCAAACACATCAGAGTTACTGACTCCAAAGCTGCTGGAGCCATCAGAAATCCCTGGGACAAAGCGAGAATGGAGGACAGAGCAACAAACAGTTAAATGAGTCCAGTATATTCTAAAGTCTTACCTCAATTTAAAAGCACCTTCAGGTTCAGGGTCAATGTTCAGAAGACTGAGTTAGCACCACTCTTTTGTTAAGGTTCCTGTTATTATTCTTGAGTAAAAGGGGAAAAGTGCTTTTACATGTACTTCTGTATTTAGTAATTATTGTTGTTTCCCAGAGCATGTCAGGGCAGCTCTGCGATTGTGAATCCAAGAGGTCTGCACTCTTGGTCTCTGCCTGATGCTCCGGCAAGATGGAATCTTCACCGGTAGCTGGGTTCCACACACCCTACCTGACACCATGATAGGAGCAGCCGACGCAAGCATGGGAGAGAAGATGCCAAGAGATGCCACACTATAGAAACTATTGTAAATGGCTTCATTTTATGGAAGGGACGGAGAGCTTTCAAAGAACCTTCCAACCTCTTTGTTCGGGTTGCCTCAGTGTTGAAGGCTGTCGTCTTCTCCTTGAGCAAATAGTTGGTCCAAACAAACCGAAACAAACTAAGTGAAACCAGTTTTCAGCTAATTGTCCTTTAAAAAAAAAACAAGAGTTGACAACTGTGTCACATAATATCCACACCCTAAACTAAAATGCCCAAAGAAGTCTTGCTTAAGTCATTGTGTACATTGCCGACCAGAACAGCAAACAGTGACCTGCACCCAAAATACACAGTGCACTTTCACCCAAAGTTGATCCTACAGTTGGAAACTCTTCTTGTGTCATTAGTTGCATAAAGGCCCTCAGGAGGCAAGGGACCTTTTGGCAACAGGCTACAAAGACTATGGCTAGGAAAAGAGTGGTTATGTCCACAAAGCCCCACTTAAGATGGATGATTATGTAAAGGGTGTGGAGGCAGCATGGAATGTGTGGAATTGTAGGCTTACATCAAAAGAAAAGGAGAAGCAAGATGGAGAGAACATGACTGGAAGTCTGATTAATTTCAAAAGGGAATTAGAAGTATTTAAAACTGTAAAAAGATTAGTCCAGCTCTTCAGCAGCAAAGACAGGACATTTTCTGTGCACAGGAGACCTTTCTTTCTGTTAATTAATGGGCAGGCCCCAGGTACTGCATAGAGAAAATGTTTTCTACATTGGTAGACATAAGCAATAATGCAACCTACATACATGAACTTAAGTGGATTATGCTTTGAATCCAAACTCTTGGCTTTAGAATATTCATAAGACTTGAATTGCTTTTCCTTTCTCCCGCTTTCTATTTTTTTTTCTCTATAACTTTTTCCCCTAACTGCCGCCCCCACCCCTTACAAAAGCTCTGTTGTTCAGACCTCTTCATCTCCATCTATCTCATTTAGAAATTTCGCCTATTTTTCATGATCTAGCATAGTGTTTAATTACTAATTGCACTACTAATCTGGTAAATAGTTTAGAGAATAGTATAAAATATATTGTATTAAAAAATCAATATGTTAGTATATTAGATTTTTTTTAATGTTAAAGTACTAAAATGTTTTGAGCCAGAGTTTATACTCTGTTTTCCTTATCATCATCAAAACAAACAAAACCCAAAAGCAAAATAAAATTAAAAAAAACCTTACAGGCATTCTCATAGCGATCCTTTGAAGTTTATAGAGGACATCGCAGAGGTTATTATGCCTTCTCTGTTTATTCCTTTGGGAAATGCCTGTTTTCATGCCAGTTGAATTTTAGTGCAATATCCTCCATGGGGAATCCAAAAGCTATAACTGGGTTTTGTAGAGATGTAAATAGCATGTCCCCCCTCTTTGCCCAATTTTCATTGTGGTAAAATATGCATAAAATTGAGCAACTTAACCACATTTAAGTGTACAGTCCAGTGGTATTAAAAACATTTATAATGCTGTGCAACCATCAGCACCATCCATCTCTACAACACTTTCATCTTGTAAAACTGAAACTCTATACCTATTAAACAATAGCTCCTCACAGTCCTCCTCCCCATATCCCTTAGTAGCCACCATTCTACTTTTGGTCTCTATAATTTTGACTACTTCGAGTATCTCATATAAGTGAAATCATATAACATTTCACTTTTCTGTGACTGGTTAATTTCATTTAGCATAAAGTCCTCAAACTTCATTCTTGTTCAATCATGTTATAGTTTTCTTCCTTTTCAAGGCTGAATAATATTCCACTGCATGGAAATACCACATTTTGCTTATCCATTCACCTAATAATGGAGTCTTGGTTGGCGTCTATATTTTAATCATTGCGAATACTGCTGCTATGAACACTGTCATATTATTATTACCTCTTTGGGAATCTGCTTTCATTTATTTTAGGTATATAACTAGAAGTGGAATTGCTGCATCATGTAAATTCTATTTTTAATGTTTTGAGGAAATATACAGGGGTTACACTCTTGTTTTTAATACAGAAACCTAAGTATTTGTCTTAATACTATTATAGGTTAAATTGTATCTAACTTTATAAAAACAAATCAGATAGAGCTGATATAAATAACCCAGAATGAGTTTATTCATCCAGATTAAAAATTCAAGGCAAAACATTTTCTACTATTATTTTTATTAGCAGTAATAGTAATAGCTACCTTATAATGACAGCTAAATATATGGCATTTAATCCAAACAATAAGATTGGAAATTACATAGTGTTTTATTGATTCCAGCTATCACCGGTTCAATCTTTCCTTCCTGGTTTTAAAGTTATCTACTGTGAAGAATGGTACACATTAAAAAAAAACTACTGACAGCAAATGTTGGAGAGGATGTGGTGAAAAAGTAACTCTCCTACACTGCTGGTGGGAATGCAAACTGGTCCAACCACTATGGGAATTGTATGGAGTTTCCTTAGACTACTAAAAATGGAACTACCATATGACCCAGCAATTCCACTAATAGGGATATACCCAAAGGACACAAAAACACTAATTAAAAACAATACTTGTATCCCTATATTCATTTCAGCACTATTTATAATAGGTAAGACTTGGAAACAACTCAAAAATAGATGACTGGATCAAGAAGATGTGGTACATATACACAATGGAATACTATTCAGCAATCAAAAAAAGATAAACTGAAGCCATTCACAGCAACATGGATGGAGCTAGAAGGGATTATGCTCAGTGAAATAAGTCAGAAGAAAAAAGAAAAATATCGGATAGTTTCACTTACAGGAGGAATATAGGGGAACCAAATAAGGCATTAGGGAAAAAAGTAACAATAAAAACAAAACAAAAATAAACAGACAACTATAAATCAGAGACATTCTACAGGGAAAGGAAAAGGAGAGGGATCAAAACGAGAGAGGGAGGAGCACAAGTAACTATGGTGATGGTGCTCGGGTGGTGGAAATTCTATGGGAACTACACCTGAGAAAAGAAAGCAAACATTTTTTAAAAAAATGAAAAATGAAGTAAAATTTATATAAATAAACCAAATGCAAATTAAAAAAAATTAAAATAAAGTTATCTACTTGGCCCCTCCCATCTGTACAAGGACATATACCATTATTCTCAGACCCCAAAGATCAACCTTGAATTCTGCCTTAATTCAGTTGTCCTGTGCAGGAATAATAATCATCCCTTCATCTATCCAAATTTCATCCATCTGTTAAAACTAAGATAAAGTTTTAACTCCTTTTAATTTGCCCACCTATAGATATTCCTGTTTCTTCAAAATTTAAGTGTAACTCAGAATTTAATAAATGTACCTTTGTGTTATAAACATGAATTATTCTTTAATTATTTCACTCCCATTATCACTATATCTCCAATAGATTTGAAGCTTTGCATAGAAAGGAACCATGTTTAACTTTTATTTTTTAATCTCTGCAGACTACCTCATAGTGTTGCTGTAGAGATTAAAAGAGTAACTTTATATAAAGTGCTTAGAATAGGACCTGGAATTCAGCATGTACCATAGGTTTCCCCTGTTATCTTAAGAACCTTTAAAAGCCTAAATCGTCCAAAGACATTAATTCATATGGAAAAAATTTTTACCATTCCTAGACCCCCAAAATAACCTACCAAATC